CCCTGATGCCGCCGCCTCCTTCCTGCTCGGCCCGGCTGCCTGTTCTTAAAGGGGCCCTTGACCTGGCTGGGGGTGCTACTGGGAGTGGGAGCCTTCCGGCCTGACCCTCGGTAGACAGGATGGCAGCCTGTCCTGCTGTGACTCCGCTCGGTCGGCTTCATTCTGCTCTCGTGCGAGTTAGACAAAAGCATTAAACACCTCAGCTGATGAGCCAGCGGTTTGGGGGCTCTCTGGAAAAATAGCAATGAAAACATGGTGTTTATGGCCAGGTGGTGGCGCACGCCTTTAGTCCCAGCACTCGGGAGGCAGAGGCAGGAGGATCTCTATGAGTTCGAGACCAGTCTGTTCTACAAGAGCTAGTTCCAGGACAGCCTCCAAAGCCACAGAGAAACCCTGTCTCGAAAAACAAACGAAAAAGAAAAGGAAGAAAGGAAGGAAGGGAGAGAGGGAGGGAGGGAGGAAGGAAGGAAAGGAAGAAAAGTTCAAGGTCAGGTTTGACTACATGAGACTATCTAACAGAAAGTACCCCAAAACTGAGGGGCAGTGTGACATGTACAAGTGGACACTGTAGAGAGCCAAACCAGTATGTTCTAGTTCAGGGACAGTCACCTTCTGCACACAGATGACCTGTTAACTGCCTTCTGAAACAATTTAAGGCCCCCTTTCCATGCCCCTCTGCCAGAAGGTGATAGGTGCCAGGGAGAAAGCAGTGTCCTGACTAGAAGAGGTGTGTGTACCCTCCTGAGCTGTCTTCTTCCTTCCATGAGGTGACCCCCTTTCCAGAATGATCTGTATTCTTTTCATTTGGCATCAAAGAAACATTGGGCTAGTTATAGTTCTGAGGGCTTTGAACTGGGCCATGTCTGAATCTGGTGGTTTTCTTTTGTTGTTGTTGTTCTTAGGCCCTCTGCACAAGTCAGGCAGGAGTTTGCTATGAAGACAGCCCTTGGCCCTAAGTGTCTTTTTTTATTATTTGCATTATGGGATGCAGGCAGATCTCTTGAATTTTAGGCCAACCTGGTCTACAGAGTGAGTTCCAGGACAGCCAGGACTGTTTCACAGAGAAACCCTGCTGTATCAAGAAAAAAAGAAAAGAAAGAAAGACATAATTACTTTGGGCTGGAGAGATGGCTCAGTGGTTAAGAGCACGGACTGCTCTTCCAGAGGTCCTGGCTGTGAATGCACAATGTAGGTCAGGCTGGCTTCAGGTGTGTGGTGATGCTTCTGCCTCAGACTTTTCAGTTGCCAATCTCAGGTGTGCTACCACACTCAGCTCTAAGGTGGCTAAAGCTGATGAACTCTAGGAAGATGTCCTGTCCTTCGGAAACAACTTGAGCAACTTTCACATTTGGTATTCATCACTCGGGAGTGGCTCTTTCAGACACCTACGGATGGAGTACAGACCTTCAGGGTTAGTGCACAGCCATACAGAGAGAAAGAATCAAGAAGCAAGCTGCTTGGTGTTAGAGAGAAAAATAAACAGAGAGGCAAGGGGAGAAAGAAGGAGAGGGGCTGGAGAGATGGCTCAATGTTTAAGAGCACCAACTGCTCTTCCAGAGGACCTGGGTTCAATTCCAGCACCCACATGGCACCTCACAACTGTCTCTAACTCTAATTCCAAAGGATCTGACCTCTTCTGACCTTCACAGGCACCAGGCACATATATAATACATATATTCAGGCAAAAATACATGTAATAATAAAAGTTCAAAACAAAACAAAAACACAGGTTGCTTGAAAAAGCTACTCTTCGGGTATCCCCACTTTGTGGAACATCGTGTGGTGCCTGGACTGTGGAAGTATCCATAAGCTACATAAGATGTGGTAGGCCTTCATTCCCAGCATCTGAGAGGCCGGGGCAGGAAGATGGCCATGAGCTCAAGGCCAGCTCTCAATCTACAAGGTAAGAAAGAATTAGTGCTGGGCATTGGTGGCACATGCCTTTACTCCCAGCACTAGGGAGGCAGAGACAGGCGGATCTCTGTGAGTTCAAGGCCAGCATGGTCTACAGAGCAAGTTTCAGGAAACCTCCAAAGCAATACAGAGAAAGGAAAGAGAGAAAGAAAGAAAGAAAGAAAGTGGTTTTGGTGCATTTTCAGTGTCAAGAGTCCTTAGAGTATATCAGAGAGTCACAGAGAGCATGAAGCTCTAGGCCTCTCTTGCCCCAAGCTGTCAACTTCTGTCTGCTTCTCTCCGAAGTCAGAAGGTTGTAAAGTAGCAGGCACTATTCTATGTGACCCATGCCCTCCATCAGAGAAGGGATAGTCAGTCTCAAGCCCCAGAAGATTGATTTGATAAAGTTTTGAGTACCATAAATAGAATGGGAACTTAAAGTATACAAAGAGTGTAACTCGTGGGCTGGAGAGATGGCTCAGAGGTTAAGAGCACTAACTGCTCTTCCAGAGAACCTAGGTTCAATTCTCAGCACCCACATGGCAGCTCACAACTGTCTATAACTCCAGTTCCAGGGGATCTAATACCTTCACACAAATACACATAAAGTAAAATTAAATAAAATATTTAAAAAAAGATTGTAACTCTCTGAGTACCTGGCTGTGGGAAAAAGAAGCCAGAGGTTTCTTATGATCTTAAAATCTCCTGGTTTAGGAGGTGGTGGCTCACGCCTTTAATCCCAGCACTCGAGAGGCAGAGGCAGATGGATCTCTGTGAATTCAAGACCAGCCTGGTCTACAAGAGCAAGTTCCAGGACAGCCTCCAAAGTCGCAGAGAAACCTTGTCTCAAAAACACCAATAAAAACAAACAAACAAACAAACAAAAAAAACAAAAGAAAACTACTGCTTTAGCCGAGGGTGGAGTGCATCTTTGATCCCAGAACTAGGGAGGCAGAGACAGCAGGATCTCTGTGAGTTTTAGGCCAGCCTGGTCTACAGAACGAGTGCCAGGATAGCCAGGGCTACACAGAGAAACCTTGTCTAGAAAAAAACAAAACAACAAAAAGGAGCACTTCTTGCAGAGAACATGGTTTGGCTCCTATCACACACATGGAGACTCACAACCATTCATTTCCAGGGAAACCGACTCTCTCTCCTGGACTTGACATGGTGCACATATGTATCTGCAGGCAAAACACTCATCCACCTTAAATACATCTAAAATTAAAAACAAAACTAGTAGAGCGAGTGATTCTGGGGATAAAGGGAACAGTGTGGACAAAAAAGCCCAGAATACGTCATATACACATGGGAAATTTTTAAAGGATTAATAAAAATACTACATTTAACTGTCTCCTTTTAGGTTGCCTAGGTAGCCCGGTTTGGAACACTGCACATGCGCATAGATGGCCCTATGACTGGTCACTCTTTTGACGTTCTTGTAAGCGCCTCTTACGTATTGGCCACACCCCTTCCTGCTGCGAGGTCACGCACGCTCGTCGCACAGACGCTGCGTGATGATGTAAGGTG